GAGATTTCTTCCTATCTGGAAATACCTTACACTTGAATCCTCTGAGTGGAGTGGCCCCATTCGAGTCAATGGATTAGAATGATGGAAAAGCAAACAAAGAATATAAACAAGGGTGTCCAGTTCCTCCCTTCGCCTCCCTTAGTAACCTACCACACAGCCATACAACCTAGAATATCAAGGCAGATAATCCACAATATCTGCTTTGAACTGGATCATCTGAGTCCACACTGCCATATAATCCAGGTCAATGTAGCTTTTATGCAGCTATGTGGAAGGGGCCCTAGAAAGAACCATTTTACTGAGCTCCAGAGTTCATCAAAGTCCCCGCTTATGTTTAAACCGCCTTCAGTCCCAATCTTGAGGGAAAGTTGAGGTATGATGAATGAAGTTCATCACCCTCATCTCAATGCTTTAAGCCAAGTATTGTCTTAAAGCAGTCTCTGAGAAAGCCATCATCCCTCCAAAACGTTATTCTCTACTACACTGACATACATTGCAGTTTCATAATGCAGTTTAACTGTATGTCAGTGTCGACACATATGATGCAGTTTAGTTCAGTTAAATTGCATTATGAAACTGCATTAGGTGGCGGTGTAGACGGGCCAGAGTTGGTTAAACCTGACTCACGATTCTGGAGATTTGTATAAGAAGGTGAGACCCAAAAAAAAGGGTATATACCTCAGGTTTGAAAAGCAGGGACGTGTCTTTGCTCACTAATTGTACCTTTTAATATGTACATAAAAGGCAGGTGGGAGAGGAGCTGAGGGAATTTTACTATTTTACAGCTGAGTGGATTTCATTACTGTTACCATCACATTAGTACTAGTATTAGTATTATCGGGCCTTTTCGTGGACCAGGACTCCAGAATTAACCAATCCTAGCCATGTTTATGTGAAGCAAATCCTCGCTCTTGAGCTGGGCCTTGGACCCTCGGAGGCTGCCTATGGTCCCTGAAGCAGCTCCCTATTACTAATCGGACTGGCCTGGCAAGGGTTTCTCGTGGGAGGGGGCGTTTGCCAACCCTGCCAGGAGATGCCAAAAAGGGCGCCCGGGCCTTTGTCCTGGGTAATTAATTGCCTCTGGGATGGCGCTGCTGTCCAAAGATGGTTGAGAAAGAAGGGAGGGAGAAAGGAAGGCAGAGGGAGAGGGAGGAAAGAAGGGAAGGGGGGAGGGAGCAAAGGAGGGGGAAGGGAGGGATGGAGGATGAATGGATAGATAGAAAAGGGATGGAAAGAAAGAAGGACGCCAACGAGCGAGGATGGATGAATGGATAGGAAAAAGGAGGGAGGATACAAAAAGGAAGGAAGGGAATAGAAAGGAGGGAAAGAGAGGGAGAAGAGAGAAGGGAAGGAAGGGGGAAAGAGAGAAAGAGGAAAAAGAGAGGGAGGGAAGAAAGAGGAGGGAGAGGAAGGAAGGAAGGAAGGAAGGAAGGAAGGAAGGAAGGAAGGAGAGAGGTGGGAAGGAAGGAAGGAAAGGAGGGAAAGAGAGGGGGAGGAAGAAAAGGAAGGAAAAAAGTAGAAAGAAGGGAGGGAGGATAGATGAAGGAAGGAGGGAAATAGGAAAAGAGGGAAAGACACAGAAGGGAGGGAGGGAGGGAAGGGAGGGAGGGAGGGAAAGAGAGAGGAGGGAGGGAAGGAAGATGAAGGAAAGAAGAAAAGAAAGAAGGAAAGAGAGAGGAGGGAAGGACAGGAGGAAAGGAGGGAAAGAGAGATAAGGGAGGGAAAGAAGAAAGGAAGGAAGGAAGCAAAGAGAGAGGAAGGAGGGAGGGAAGGAAAGAAGGGAGGGAGGGAGGGAAAAGAGGGAAAGAGACAGGCGGGAGGGAGGGAGGCGGGAGGGAAAGAGAGAGTAGGAAGGGAAGGAAGGAAAAGAGGGAAAGAGACAGGAGGGAGGGAAGGAAGGAAGGAAGGAAAGGAGGGAAAGAGAGAGGAGGGAGGGAAGGAAGGAAGAGGAAGGAAGGAAAGAAGAAAAGAGAGAGGAGGGAACGACAGAACGAAAGGAGGGAAAGAGAGAGGAGATAGGGAGGAAAAAGAGGGGGAAAAAGAAGTAAAGATCTGGTATTAAGTGTATTCGAATCTGGCATTTAAGTGTTTTCATAAGGTACATGGGGCGCCCACCAAAAGACAAAACTGAAATAAATCCTTCAAAATCTCCCAGCATTTTTTAAAATGGGATTCGGTTTTCAATAGCCTGTCAGAAAGCCAGGATATTTATCCACCTGCTTACAACTCTCCGTTCAAGGACCCAGCATCTCCTGGCCTGGCAGAAATCTCTGGTTCCCTCAACTCGGGCTTGGGAACAAGAAGAAGCAGAAGACGGTGGGCTAAGCCCAGGGGCGGAGCGGGAGGGGGAAAGGGTGGAAAACGTTTCCGTGGAAAGACCAAATAACCTTGCCTAAGAATAATAATAATAACAATAACATCAACAACAACAATAATAATCAGCAGCAGCGATGGCTGCTGGGAAAAGGGGAGGGAGAGAAGGCGCCCCTTCCCTCCATTCATTATGCCGCGCTGCTAAGCAACCGCCTGCGACGTACTGATCATTTTCTCCCCCTTTTTCTCTCCCCCCCCCTTTTTTTTCTTTTTTTTTCTTTTTTTCTCTATTGCTCTTCCTGGCAAAAGGCGCCTCCGTCGAAATTCAATATGATCTTGGATGCGAGGCAGGGAGCTGTCAGACAAATTTCTTTCCAACCCATCCTGGAACTGGAAGGAGCCAGAAAGAAAAGAGAAAAAAGTCGTGACATTATTAGTCGCCATCCATGTTGCGTGTGTTGGTGTTGAAAGACCAACATCCCATTGCTTGGACATAAATAAAATCCGCCTCAAAATCTTGGATTGCTTCGAACCGCTTCACCCCAGAAAGATACTTTCAGGCCGCTAAAGTTAACCAAGTTCCAGAAAGTAGGTGAATTGGGACTGAAAGTCCCTTCTTTTCAAAGGGAAAGGGAAAAGGATTCTCCCAGGCAGTAATCAGCCAGGCCTTGAAGCTGCAAGGCTTTGCAATGCTAATCAAGACGATTAATTGCAATATTGACACTTGCCTCCAACAGACAAGAGTTCTTTCTCCCACCCTGGACAGTCCATAAATCTATAAACCTCCTATAGGCCTCACAACCTCTGAGGATGCCTGCCATAGATATGGGCGAAACGTCAGGAGAGAATGCTTCTGGAACATGGTCATACAGCCCGGAAAACTCAAAGCAACCCAGAAAGGGAATCTCTTTTCCATTTACACGACTTACTCCCGAGTAAACCTGCACAGTCTCGGGCTAGCAAGGCTGGATCTACACTGCCAAATAATGCAGTTTGATATGCATTCTATGATAGACCTATATAATGCAATTTAGTGCAGGTCAGACTACATTATCCGAATATCGTCTGCCCGCAGAATGCAGTTCAAACTACGTTATAAGGGTCTGAGCACAGAATACACTTCAAACTGCATTATTTGGCAGTTAGATCCAGGCCAACGCGTCAAAACTAAAGCCAGTTTGTTCCACGTTTGGAATGATCGAACAGGAGAGGAAATGAAATCCCATCAAGGAAAGGAAATAACATTGGTTTAAAAATTCACCTCAAAAGGAAGTTGCAGAAAACGATAGGGAGAGAACTGCAAAGGACCCAAGTTTGTTTGATTTATTGTATTGTGGAAAGTTTTCATGGCCGGGATCACTGAGTTGCTGTGAGTTTTCCGGGCTGTATGGAATTCCTGAAGCATTCTCTCCTGACTTTTCGCCTGCATCTATGGCAGGCATCCTCAGAGATTGTGAAATCTGTTAGAACATGCCCGGAAAACTCACAATAACCCAGAGATTTCTGCCACGAATGCTTTCGACAATACATTAAACATCTCCACGGGAAGAAAGTGCTCCAAGACACAAGGAAATTGGACCTATTGGATCCAACAGACCTCACAACCTCTGAGGATGCCTACCATAGATACAGGCGAAACGTCAGGAGAGAATGCTTCTGGAACATGACCATACAGCCCTGAAAACCCAGAACAACCCTTTGTTTGGTTTGTTAACCTATGGATCTATATTAAAAGGGATGGGGAAGGAAGAAATGCCAGCCTCCACAGGTCTCCTGGACACAATCTACACTTTATTTCAGACTACAGGTTTCTGAACATAAGAAAAAAATCTTTGGCTTGCAGCAAGGGGTTCAGTCTCGCAGTCTGTGGGTCCATCCGGTGACGGTGGGCTGGGGAAAGGGGGGGGAGGAGGAGAGAAGGAGAAGCACAGGCACCCGCCCACGCGCGTCCACGCGGGCCCACGCGGGAGGAGCGCGCGCCCACGACACCCGGGCAGGTGAAGGCACACACAGGGAGGTGAGGGAAGGGGGGGGAGCGGGTGGGAAGGGAAGCCCGACATAACGATTCAGGGCCTGGGGAAGGGAGTGGGAGATGGACAATTCAGAAAATAACCAAGTGTGTGTGTGTGTAAGGGGGGGGGATGGGAAAGAGAATCAAGGCCAGAGGAGTGTGAAGAGGGGACGCGAATTGAGGGAGGATGGGGAAAATAGGGGGAAAGATACACATTATCCTTATTAATTGTTCTTTTCCTTACCTGAAATCAAATATATACAAGCTCGTACGACGTTTGGCTATAGAGATCATTTTGTGTGTAAGCGTTCGGTTCATTCTTGGGGTTGGTTGGTTTGTTTTCTCCTTGTTTTTAATCGGAATCCTTATATAACTATGAACAGACACTCAATTTTGATATGTTTCCCCCCTCCCTTTCTCCTCTCTCTTGCTTTAAATAGCACCCTCCAACGTGCCACTGCAGTCAAAAAGACTTGTCCAAAATCGTCTTTGTGTGGTGTGATTCTTTGTCTATTTTTTCCCCTGGAGACCAGGTCCATAATAATAATAATAATTAATAATTAATAATAATAATTAATAATAATATTAAGAATAAAATAATTTTCTTTTTTWAAAAAACCAAAACAACGGAACCAAACCAAGCCCCCCCCTACCCCCCCCCCCCCAAAGAGTCCCCGCTGCTCCTTGTGTTCACTCGCTGTCCTCCTTGTCTTGGACGGTGGTGGTGGAGTGGTTGTAGAGTCCCTGGGCCATGAGGTGGAGGGCCAGGCCGTTCTTGATGCCCGTGGCCTTCTTGATCTTGGCCCGCTTGTTCTGGAACCAGATCTTGATCTGGGACTCGTTGAGGCTCAGCTCCTGGGCCAAGGTCTGCCGCCGCTGCTCCGTGATGTACCGGTTGGCCTGGAACTCCGCCTTGAGTCTCTGCAGCTGCTCCGCCGTGAAGGCCGTCCGCGGCCGCTTGTCCTCCTTCTCGTTCTTCTTCTTCTTCAGCTTCCGCGTGCGGGGCCCTAAGGACAGCAGAGGCAGTCAGCACGAGGAGGGAACAAGGGGCGGACGAGCGCGCGCCACCACCCAGGCCCCACCACCGGAAGGAAGGAAGGAAGGAAGGAAGGAAGGAAGGAAGGAAGGAAGGAAGGAAAGGCAGCAGGGGCCCACACACACAACAAGCCATGCGCCTCGAGGGGAAAATAAAGGGGAGGGGCACCGCAGAAATCTTCCAGATTGACCATTGGTGCAGCTGAACCATTATCAATGGCTGCAGTTGTTGTCGAAGTCTTTCATTACCCGAATCAAGGGGTTGTTGTGAATTTTCCGAGCTATATGGCCATGTTCCAGAAGCATTCTCTCCTGACGTTTTGCCCACATCTATGGCAGGCATCCTCAGGGGCTGTGAGGTCCTCACAATCTCTGGGGATGCCTATGACGACCTCTCGACCTCTGGGGATGCCTGTGAGGACCTCACAGTGTCTGGGGATGCCTGAGAGGACCTCAGGACCTCCTGAGGATGCCTGTGAGGACCTCAGGACCTTCTAACGATGCCTGTGAGGACCTCACAATGTCTGAGGATGACTGTGAGGACCTCAGGATCTTCTGAGGATGCCTGTAAGAAGGACCTCACAATTTCTGGGAATGCCTGTGAGGACCTCACAACCTCTGAGGATGCCTGTGAGGACCTCACAATTTCTGGGGATGCCTGTGAGGACCTCAAGACCTTCTGAGGATACCTGTGAGGACCTCAGGACCTTCTGAGGATGCCTGTGAGGACCTCACAATTTCTGGGGATGCCTGTGAAGATCTCGCAACCTCAGGGATGCCCTCACAACCTCTGGGGATGCCTCTGAGGACCTCACAACCTCTGAGGATGCCTGTGAGGACCTCACAATTTCTGGGGGTGTCTGTGAGGACCTCAGGGCCTTCTGATGATGCCAGTGAGGACCTCACAATCTCTGAGGGTGCCTGGTATAGATGTGGGTGAAAGATCAGCAGACAATATTCTTGAACATGGCCATACAGCCCAGAAAACTCACAATATCCCAATGGCTGGATTAATCATGGTCCATAAGGTGCAAAAAGTGCAAATGGTACAGCTGAACCAATGGAGCATAACAACAACAACAACAACAACAACAACAACAACAACAGTATCTACCACGATTTTGTTCCTAGGTTATCAATGTCATTTCCTAATTGGTTATTTCATTTAAAAAAAACATGGGGAAAACTATTAAAGTGCAAGAACTTTGTTTTTGCGCCACATCCTGCTGCACATCTTGCTATAGTTTTTCAATCATCATCATCATCATCAGATTGACCATGGACTATAGGGTGAAAAAGTGGAAATTGTACAGGTGAACCAATGGTGCATCAGAATTATATTATTATTATTATTATTATTATTATTATTATTATTATTATTATTATTATTGCTAGATTGACCATGAACCATATGGTGCAAAATGAAAATGATACAGCTGAACTAATAAATCATCTTAATAATAATAATAATAACCAGATTGACCATGGACTATAGGGTGCAAGAGTGCAAATGGGACAGCTGAACCAAGAGTGCATCTATATCAACATTATCACCATCATAAAAATCAATTAATGGATTGATCATAGACTGCAGAAATGTAAGTGCATCTTAATAATAATAATACCAAGAATGCATCTTAATAATAATAATGAATTGTTGGGTTGACCATGGACCATAGGGTGCACCTACATGATCTACATACACACAAGGCTGGATCAAGTGAAATAAGGGGAGGGGAAAGGGGGAGGGGCACTGTAAATGTTTTCTAATGGACTACAGGATGCAAAAATGCAAGTGGTCCAACTGAACCAAGGTTGCACCTACATGGGGAGCAAACACCCTGTGCTGGAAGAACCATTAAGCACCTGCTTAGGGCATAAAGGGAAAGGGGCGCTACAAAACTTTCCCAGACTGACAAAGGACCATAGGGTGTCAAAGTGCAAATGGTGCAGCCGAACCAAGGATGCATCTATGCTATATCTCTCCTTGAGAACACATTATCTAAGTCAAGGGGTGCACCTAAGCCATGCAAGGGCAAACTTCGTCCCTCCAGGTGTTTTGGACTTCAACTCCCACCGCTGGTAAGATGGCTGGGATTTCTGAGAGTTGGAGTCTAAAACACTTGGAGGGCCGAAATTTGCCCATGCCTGATCTACATTGTGGAATTAATGCAGTTTGACATCACTTTAACTGTGAGGGCTCAATGGTATGAAATCCTGGGAGTTGTAGTTTTATAAGACCTTTAATCTTCTCTGGCAAAGAGTACTGGTGCGTCACCAAACTACAAATCCCAGGATCCCACAGCATGGAGCCACTACAGTTAATGGCACAGTCCGGCAATGGCATCATTGCCGGACTGATCCTGGACTACAGTGTGCAGAACATCTGTAACCAAGGGTGCATCTACACTTTAGAATTCATGCATTTTAATTCCCATGGCTGGATTCTGTGGAATCGTGGGAGTTGTGGTATGGTGAGCTATTGACCTTTCTCTGCAGTGTGCTCCTGCATGGAAAGAGGATGTGCTGGGTGGCTCTTGTGGCCTCTTCCAAGTCGAAAGAGTGTTGGCCCCTCACCAAACCTCCCATGATTCCATAGTACCTGAAACGGTGTCAAACTGCATTAATTCTTCCCTGTAGTTTGCACACATGTTCCACAAGAAGGGACTCACACGAGGAAATGCCTTTGCCATTAGAACAAGCAGGAGAAAACTTTTCAAATATCTATCAAGTGGAAGTCTACAAAAATAATAAACATGGTTTTCTCTCTGTAATTTTTGTTTCGTTCCGAAAAAATACCGGGTTATGTGTCGGTTTATTTATATTTCCTATTAGATTTCTCTATATATGGGGGCAGCAAAGTATTTGCAGAGTTTGAATGGGCTTGATCCCGCTCTGGACACAGCGTGGCTGGATCAGATCCTCTCTCTTCAATGCAAAAAGGAAACCAAGCGTCTAGACACAAGCTGCGGCTATGCATACAAGGGAGGGCCCTTCCACACAGCCATATAACCCAGAAAATCAAGGCAGAATAACCCACAGTATCTGCTTTGAAGTGGAATACCTGAGTCCACACTGCCATATATGCCAGTTCAAAGCAAATAATGTGGGCTTTTATTCAGCTGTCTGGAAGGGGCCGGAGTAAACTATACGACCTCCCTAAAACGGGGATCTGAGGAGTACAAAGCTGCTTTTGGGATCCCTCGCCTTTCCAAGCTGATCCCGAAGATACACTACTTGCTTTCCCGACTCTTCCTTGACCCTCTCCTTTTCCCACACCTTCACATTCACACATCCACGCAAGCACAGGCGGGTTGGTGGTGGCTGGGCCTAGGAGGCCTGAAGGAGGCCCGCATCTCGACCCAAGGCCGCCAGCTCTTTCTCCCTCCAAGAAGGGAGTGAGTGAAGGAAAGCGAAGAGGAAAAGAAAGGAAGGAATGCAAAGAAAAGAAGGAAACGGAGAGAAGTTTTCTCCGAAGAGACCGCGCTCAATGCCGAAGAGCTGCCGCCAAGTTCAGTCCTGAAGCTATAGCCTTTCTGGCCGATTCTTTACACAGACACCGAAAAGGGGAGAAAACATGGACGGCGAGTTCGAACAACTGCAGAAGATATTTGAGGGAGGGTCTCCCCAAAGTCCTCTCTTTTGAGAGTCCCGACGTCATAACTTTTCCAAACCTTTCCTGTGACCAAACTCCCTTGAAAGCTATCGAAGGGATGATTCGCCTGCCAATTCAGGGGGGATTTATTATTATTATTATTATTATTATTATTATTATTATTATTATTATTTTGGGGTGGTTTATTCTTTTTGTGCCTGACATGCTTTCTGAGTGTATGTAATAAAAAGCAAACGAGATGGACCCTGATCCCCCCCTCCCCCCAGCTTTGCAAAGGCGCAGCAAGAGGCGCTTACTCTACTTTGGGGGAAAGAGTGGATCCTAAATAAACAAAGTGAGTGGGTTTAGCCCTCCTCCCCCTCCCCTGTTGTTGTTATTGTGGGTGGGTAAAGGGCAGAGTCTAACCTTACCACGAGGGTAAGCAAATAGTACACTCATCCCCTTCGCCTGCCTCTGGGCCTTTCGAGCGCCTTGTTTTGGCGATTAGTCTCTTTTTCCACCCAGCCACACTCGCAGCATTCTAATTCTGTGGAAATCGGGTGGCTCCAACAGGAAGCCACTTGCCTCGGAGTCTCCTTTTCCTACTGCTTGCACGAAGGAGCAGTTTGGCAAGGAGAAGGAGCAACTCGGGGTCTCTTTCTCCCGCAGACTTTTCCTCCTCCTCCTCCTCCGAACTGTGAGAACAAGTGACTCTTCTTCGCTCCATCTGCTGAGCCAGAGGAGGGGGCTTGGAGGCCGAAAGCCCACCCCAGCCCCGTTCCCTTCAGAAAGCAGACCCTTCTCCCTCTTCTAAAACAGGCCCCCTCGCCTACTCTTTCACCCACCCACCCCACGCGTAACTGTGGGCGCCTCAGGGCCGCCAGGTTGAGGCGGAGGCCGAGGAGAGGCAGCCTTTCGAGCCGCGAGGAGGGAAGCTGGGAAAGGAGCCATCTTGGGTGGGAAAGCCTGGGCCCTGCGGGGAATCCTCCCGTCAAGTCTTCCACCCTCCCGGCTCCGAGGTTTCCCTTCAGTTGTGACTAACTTGAGCATAAAGGTGTGTGTGTGTGTGTGTGTGTGTGTGTGTGTGTGTGTGTGTGTATGTGTGTGTGTGTGTGTGTATATATATATATATATATATATATATATATATATATATATATATACACATACACACACACACACCTCAATGCTCAAGTTAGTTATATATATATCACACACACACATATATATATACACACACACATATATATACGAACACATATATACACATGTATATACACACACACATATATAGACACTCATATATATACAAACACATACATATGCCATGTTCCAGAAGCATTCTCTCCTGACGTCAGTTACGACTGACTTTAGCAT